ACATCTGGCATCTAGTTATTCCAATCTACACCGATAGTAATTACTGCGCATGATGTCCAGATAAGAATATGGCATTACCGTTTGACATGACTTGCGGAATATGTCTAGCCACATTCTTCGAGTCCCTTGTTACAAATGGCGCTGAAACACATTATGGTACACGATTCGTGTACCAATGGCAAAATGTTTATTTTGTCTGAAATATTGGATATCAAAGGCCTATCTTTTCCCGGTAAGATCGTAACATCAATGTTGATTTAAATTGAAAAATGATTCGTGTTTTCAATGTCGAATACTTTGGATGATGTTGAGTTAGAGACTTAGCTACTTTAAATATAAATGCAATAAAGCTGACTACAGTGTGAGTAAGAATTGTGGGTAAGAATTGATTTATTCATACACTTTATAATAGATTTATTAAAATGAACAAAACAACATTCTTTTTGGATAAAAACGTTTCAATGCTTTTTAACACAATAACAGGAGACATTACTTATGCCTGTACATATAATTAAATTAAATACAACCGCTGATGTCTTCTAAAAGGTGCCTGCAAGCGTCTGCTTGTGACCTTGTGTAAGAAAATTCGCAAATATCATGTGCAGCGGAAGTAAGTAGATGCAGTCTTCAAGTCTTGTATTGTAAGTTCAAACAGTTTAACAAATACTAAATGATCCGGACTATCTTCCATTCAAGCATTCGATTAGCTGCGGTATTCCTGGCCTAACATTGACAGTAATCTATTTATAAATCGTTTTATTCTTGCTTTCAGAAATTAAGTTTCGTAGAGTTTTCTAAAAATATTCATTTTTTAAAAATATGGCAACCTATTTATAGCCTGGTAATTATCCGCGGTAGTGGGAAATTTCAGTCGTTTAGCAGGCCTAAGCTTTACATGTAGCAACAACTGACAACGCATACACGATGCAGTGAAAAACGGTTGCAGACACTGCGCAAGTGTTTTCAACATTTAACGATTTTTAAAACATTAGTTTTATTATAGTTTATTGCCGTCGCCTAATTTCCACTGCTGTATAGTGTATTAATTATCTATTTTTATGATAATTTTTTTCGATATTTGAAGTTTTTTGGCGATATTGGATAAACCACTATATCGACGATTTTTGGCCACATGATATCGTAGTTGGGTGTGAAAATACCATATCGCGATAAATGACTATATCGAGAATATCGTACAGCCCTAACTACTACTCCTGCTTCGTTTTGCATGCTGCATGCGCAAATTAGTTATTTCTTTTAACACTCCCACCCCACCCCTCTATCTTAGAAACTCTGGAAATAAGTTCATCTGGCAACAATAACATTAATCCTTAATATGTAAACATCGCTGACAAGCAATCATATACCTGTAGTTATGTTCACTGAGCTAGTGAAAATTCCGCTAAGGCACAATCTACCATTTTATTTCTTAATTGGGTGCATTTCAAATCCATGTCCTTAATATATCATACATATATCTGTCTTAATGTGACCTCTAGGGAATCCACAAGCTAAAAATGTGATTTTCCGACCAATCAGTGACCATAATCCAGGAAGTTACAATCCGATATGCGCGAATATCGAAAGGAACTGAGATCTTTGGGTTATAAACTTACATTTCAAGTTTCAACAAAATCGGATAAAAATTGTGACCTCTATAGGGCCCACAAGCTAAAAACATGATTTTTTATACAAACAGGGGCCATTAATCCATGAAGTTTCGATCTGATACATGCCAATATCGAAAGCAGCCGAGATCTTTTGGAATAAACCTATATTTCAAGTTTCGTCAAAATCGGACAAGAATTGTGACATGTAGAGAGTCCACAAACAATTTGTGGACGTCCGGACATTTTACCGAAAATAAAGGGGTATAACTCTTATCGTTATTAAAGCAGACGGATTCATACCACAATTAAAAATCACGTGTCAACAAAATATTCAAATCCGCACATAATAAAAATAGGAACACCTCGCTATTTTTGTACCCCCACATTCTCGTGTGGACGTATATTGTTGTCGCCCCTCTCCGCCCGTCCATCAAAAATTTGTTTATGGGCACTCTATAGGTCACAATTTTTATCCATTTTCAACAAAACTTGACATATAGGTTTATATCCCTAAGAATTCAGCTCCTGTCGATATTGTCATGTATCGAACCGTAACTTCATGGACTATGGCCCCTGAATTTATGAAAAATCACGTCTTTAGCTTGTGGACACTGGAGGTTACTATTTTTATCCGATTTTGATGAAACTTAAAAGGTATGTTTATAACCCAAGGAACATGGTTCCTTTCGATATTTTCGCATATCGGATCTTAACTTGCTGGATTATGGCCCATGATTGTACAAAAAGTCGTGTTTTTAGCTTGTAGCCCCTCAAGTGGTCACAATTTTTATTCGATTTTTAAAAACGTTTTAATATATCGAAACTGCCGGACAAAATGGCCGCTTTTCGTACACAAATAGTGTAAAAGTATGTAATTCCAAGGTTGTGGACACCCTCGTGGTCACAATTTATACCTGATTTTCATGAGACTTAAAATAATTATGTTTAGATCCCAAAGATCTCGGCCCCTGTCGATATTCGCACATATTGTGAGGTCACAATTCTTATCCGATTTTAAAAACCGTTTCACTATATCACCCATGAAAATCAGAGCGAAACTGCCGGAGAAAATGGCCACTCCTCATACCCAAATAGTGTAAAAGTATGTAATTCCAAGATTGTGGACACTCTAGAAACATAATTTTTATCCTATTTTGATGAAACTTAAAATGTATGTTTATATCCCAAAGATCTCGGTTCCTTTCGATATTCGTGCATATCACATCGTAGCTACCTGAATTATGATCCCTGAAAATACGAAAAAACATGTTTTAATCTTGTAGTCCCTCTTAAACCATTAAGTACGTAGGTCGTTATATAACGTCCTGGACAACTGGCACTCACTGTGTGTAGGGCGTAATATATAACACCTTGGAGGTATTTTCCCCAACCTATTCTTAGAACATAAATCGTCACTTGAGGGATTCCCTTGGGAATTCCCCCACGATCGCAGCATGTGTAAGACGTTATATTACATCCTGGACAACTGCCACTCACTGTGTGTAGGGTGTAATATAACGCCTTGGAGGTATTTTCCCCAACCTATTCTTAGAACATAGTACATAGTTCTTCGTCACTTCGTCAAATTAATTACACAATAGGGGGTAGTGAACGTTTTAAAAACGTCACGCTTAACAGGTTAATGTCACAATTTTTATTTGACTTGATGAAACTTTTATATTATATACTTTTATATCCCAAAGATCTTGGTTCCTTTTGATATTGTCGCATGTCGAACTGTAACATACTGGATGATGGCCCCTGGTTGTACGGGTTTTTAAATCGGATAAAAATTATGACTTCTATAGGGTCCACAAGCTAAAAACGCGATTTTTCGTACAATCAGGGGCCATAATTCAGGAAGTTACGGTCCGATACGCGCGAATATCGAAAGGAACCGAGATCTTTGGGTTATAAACTTACATTTCAAGTTCCAAGAACGAAGGGCGGTCATTTTATCTGTCAGTTTTGGGCCGATTTTCACGAAATTCCAACTCAGCCATCCTTATGGTGTAACGGTGATATAATAATACGTTTTTATAAATCGGATAAAAATTATGACCTCTATAGGTTCCACAAGCTAAAAACATGATTTTTCGTACAAACAGGGGCCATAATCCATGAAGTTTCGATCCGATACATGCCAATATCAATAGCAACCAAGATCTTTTGGAGATAAACCTATATTTCAAGTTTCGTCAAAATTGGATAAGAATTGTGACCTGTAGAGTGTCCACAAACAAATTGTGGATGGACGGACAGGGGCGACAACAATATATGTCCACATGAAAATGTGGGCGTATAAAAATGCATATTTCTTGTGTCTCAATAGGTCAAGCAACTCGTAAAATTTGTTATAAATAATAATTATTTTGTAATCTTCCAAAATCTTCCATATCCGAAGAAAACCAGAATCCCACTACAATTTGGGAAAATTTAGTATTACGAGAACTCTAAAAAAAGTTTATGCAAAATAGACAAATAGTGCTAATTTCGGATTTTAATAGAAAAGAGGGGGCATAAGATTAATCTGCTCCTGCGCTTCTATTGGTCAGGAGAACAAATGTAACTTTGATAATTAACAATAGAAATTAATTTTTCGATTACTAAACAGTAAAAGGGAACCACGGGGGTGCAGGACGGAGGGCCTAGGTAGGGACAACGTAGAGTCGTTTGGATTGGATAATAAACCGAAGTACTGTGTACACATTGGGGCGCATGTAAAATAACCCTTGCCAGTTAGATTTTGGTATAACCACCACTGTCCGGGAAAAATTTTCGTCATAGCACACTGTATGGCATCTCCTTTAGCCCAGTCGGAGCAGAACAGTGGGAGGTTAAACCACCATTTCATTTCATTTCATTTTGAATACTAAAAATATCCGAACTCTATTTTTTCTTGACTTTCATTTTCATACATTTTATTTCTTTCCTGCCCCCCCCCCCCCCCCACATGAACCCCTTTGACTTAGCGGACCCCAAAAATAATTTCACAGACCCTAGGATGGAAAAAACATGTACTTTTTTAATCTACTTCCTGTAATTGGGTCCCTTTATCAATGATAAAAACCTTTTTAATCACTGATTATATTTAATCATTGATTATATTTAATCATTGATTATATTTAATCATTGATTATATTTAATCATTGATTATATTTAATCATTGATTAAATGTTTAAATATAATCAAAGTTTAAACGTGAATTTTAATCGTTGATTACAAAAAATTGTATTCAAAGATTAGCTAATCTGACTTTTGAGAATACCAAACTTAGTCAACCACTAATCTCTAACTAGCTAGTAGCTAGTTAATGATTAGACCTAATCACAGATAATTTTAGACACTGTTCGAAAATATGGGCCTAAGACTGTATCCAAATATACTAACTTTAAAAAGGATATCTGTACACATAGCTTTACCATGTGTTATAATTGGTTCTTGATCTTCATTTCTACCATCCCAACAATCTAATTCTACACATCTATAAATCATAAACATAACATTATCAACAAAGTATTTAATGGGGGACATTGCTGCAGTATAAAGACCCACTGTCTACCAAGAAAAACCCTTAGTGGTTGCCATGCAAGATACACCCACATTCTGCGCGAGATGGACAGAGAACAAGCCAAACATATCACTTTTCTTACATTCAGGGGCCATAATCCAGGAAGTTGTGTGGTGATATGTGCAAATATCAAAAGGAATCAAGATCTGTGGGAACATTTATTTTGAGTTTCGTTAAAATCGGATAAATATTATGACCTCTAGAAGGTTCACAACCTTGGTATTACATACTTTTACACTATTTGCTTCAAGGAGTGGCAATTTTGTCAGACAGTCAAACTCAACCATCATCAGGGTGTAATGATGATCTATCTAAACGATTTTTAAAATCAGATAAAAATTGTGACCTCTAGGAGGCTCAACAAGCTAAAATCATGATTTTTCCTTACAATCAGGGACCATAATCCATGAACTTATGGTTCATTATGTGTGCATATTAAAAGAAACCGAGATCTTTGGGATATAATGTTTTGTGTTTCATCAAGATAGGTTGCCAGGCAACGAAACATACTCCCGCAGCAGCTAAGTCGTCTGGGGAGTCAACAAGTGTTGTTGCATATTTTTACTTTTTTCGGTAATGAAACATTTATAATACACTAAAATCTGATTAAGAGTAACAACTCATGAAGTAATTATCAGAAAACCATTAGCATTAGTTTAGTTTGTATAAAGGTCTGCCCTATGCTAACGTTTAGTATACGAAACTTTTAATTTCATGGGCTATACTATATACCGGAAAACACCTGAAAACTACCGGAAAACACCGTTTTATACTGAATACCGGAAAAAAACGGAAAAACACTAAATACCGGAAAACACACTAAATACCGGGAAACCACCCTATATAGGTAACCCGGAGAAGGGCTGGCTATACTATAAACCGGAAACTAACCCTAACCCTAACCCAGGCACACAGAGGACCAGGCTCCCGGTTACCTATTTAGGGTGCCAGTCTCCAGGTTTCCTATTTAGGGTATTTTCCGGTATTTAGTGTGTTTTCCGGTATTTAGTGTGTGTTTCCGGTATTCAGTATAAAATGGTGTTTTCCGGTTGTTTTCTGGTTGTTTTCTGGTGTTTTCAGGTGTTTTCTGGTATATAGTATTGCCATAATTTCATGGATTTAGCTGTTCAAGTCATAAAAATTCATTGAAAATCAACATACTTGTTCGTCTCAAGACCTTAAACTCTGTGTATCAATCTGAAGACAATCAGATAATAACTTTAGCCTCCAGAGCATCACAAGATTTTTCAAAGTGATCAAGGGCCATAACTTTGGCAGTAATTATCGGAAATTGTTGAAAATCAATAAGATTCGTCTCATGACCTCAAACACTGTGTATAAATTTAAAGTCAATATTAACTTTAGCCTCTAGAGCATTCACAAGATTTTTTGAAGTGATCAAGGGCCATAACTCTGGCAGTAATTATCGAAAATCACTGAAAATGAATAAACTTCTTCGTCTCATGACCTTTAACACTGTGTATAAATTTAAAATCAATCGGATAATAACGGTAGCCTCTAGAGCGTCCACAAGATTTTTCAAAGTGATCAAGGGCCATAACTCTGACACAATCTGGTTAAAACACAGATCCTATTTCGTTTCGTTTTTATAGTTCAAAATTTCGTTTTACTTGTCTTTACTATACTTGGATCTGGAAGAGTTGTTATTTAACTCGTGTTCTGAAATTACTGAATGGTGTCAGGGATAAGCCAATGAAACGGTTTGTTACGGCGAGCTTTAGGCGTGTTTTGCACGGAACTGTTGGTAATCCACTAGTAACATCAATGCTGATTGGTTAATCAAATGTCTGTCGTCATAGGGTCATAAGTCGGTCTTTTGACCCCTGACGTGACCTATCGCTATCACTAGTCAGATCTTCATGTAGTGTAGACCATCGAAAGTATAAAAAACGAAACGAAATATAGATCTGTATTTTAATCAGATTGAACTCTGACAGTAATTATCAAAAATCACTGAAAATGAATAGGCTTTCTTCGTCTTATGATCGTTAACATTGTGTATAAATTTAAAGTCAATCGGATATTAACTTTGGCCTCTAGAGTGTCCACCAAATTTTTTGAAGTGATCAAGGGCTATAACTCTGGCAGTAATTATCGAAAATCGCTGAAAATGAATAGACTTCTTCGTCTCATGACCTTAATCACTGTGTATAAATTTAAAGTCAATCGGATATTAACCTTAGCCTCTACAGCATCCACAAGATTTTTTGAAGTGATCAAGGGCCATAACTCTGGCAGTAATTATCGAAAATCGCTGAAAATCTATAGGCTTCTTCGTTTCATGGCTTTAAACGCTGTATATAAATTTCGAATATTAACTTTAGCCTATAGAGCCTCCACAAGCAATTGTGGACGCCGGACGGACCGACCAACGGAAGGGGGCGACGACAAGATACAACCACATTTCAATGTGGGCGTATAAAAAACTTATCTAACAAGTTAAAACTAACAAGCCAACAGTGAGGCTGATGTCCCCCGCCAAAATCCCCAAATAAATAGATGACACATATTAATTAATCGCACATCTATTTTTTTCAAAAGTATCGAGCAATCAAACTGATCAAAATTCTCATCATCGAACTTAGTCAAGGTATTGATGTAATGAAACTAACTATACACCAAGTTTCATCACTCTCACTTAATTAGAACTAAAGTTATCGTGTCCCAAAGCATCAACCAATCAAATTGCTTATCTCTGCTTAGCCCAAGCAGAAAATGCTCATCTTCGCACTCTATCAAGGCATTGACCTCATAAACACCTACAACAAAGTTTGAACATTCTAGCTCAATTAGAAGGAGAGTTATTGTGTTCCAAAGTCTTGGCCAATCAAATTGCTTATCGTTCTGCTTACCCTTAGCAGAAAATGCTCATTATCGAACTTAGTCAAGGTATTGATGTAATGAAACTAAACCCCAAGTTTCATCACTCTCACTTAATTAGAACTAAAGTTATCGTGTCCCAAAGCATCAACCAATGAAATTGCTTATCTCTGCTTACCCTAAGCAGAAAATGCTCATCTTCGAACTCCATCAAGGCATTGACCTAATAAACACCTACACCAAGTTTGAAAATTCTAGGTCAATTAGGAGAGTTATTGTGTCCCAAAAAGTGTGACAGACGGCCAGACAGACAACCCTTGCTTTCTTCGCAAGGCGGGGGACAAAAAACCCAAAATAGGAACACCCAGTGGAGGGGTTGTCTCCCGATCATGTCCCAGACATGCTCTATAGCGGAAAGGTCAGGAGTCATGGCTGGCCAAGGCATATGGACAATATGGTGACGCTGGAGGTAGTCATTCACGACATGAGCGCGTTGGGCACAGGCATTATCATCTTGAAAGATGAAACGTTGAGCAGGTTGAGCAAAGGGCAGAACTATCGTTGCCAGGATGTGGTCACGGTAGTACACATCAGTGACCCCTATTAGGAATAGGGGGTAAAATGCAACCCCTGTGAGAGGGTTGGAAGGCTAAAAAAAAATCCAAAGTTAGAACACTCAGTGGAGGGGTTGTAAACAAAGGAAAATGAGTGGGGGGGTTGCCCAAGTTCAGATTTTGTCATTGATACCATATGGTTGAAAGGTTTTCAGTAAGGGTTATCGACTGAGACAGAGGGGTTCAAGTTAGATGAACACCCGAGCTCGTGCAAGGTTGTACACTGAGAACGCGTCAGCGTTCAAAGTGTTCAATTGCGCGAGCTCGGGTGTTCATCTAACTTGACCCCGAGTGTCGAAGGTCGATAACTGATTTACACAAGGGATTCTTTGTCTAAGAGTAAGAAGTTGAATGAGTCAATGAAAATGGGCAGATACGAGAGAGAAGCAAGTTTATCACAGGTCCTTTATCACACTAAATAATTTTACCAATTCGTCTGTAACAGGTTTTAATACATTATTTTGCACGTCATAATATATTGTTGATTAATCAGCAGATTGTGGAGTGGGTCAATAACCTGAATATGTGTATACCTGTTTATTTACGATGCATACAAATCAGCTCATTCCAATGCCACTTTTTATTAAGAAATGTGGATTGGTAAATGGATAAATGTATTTTAAGCCTATTTGCTGATTTCTGGTTTTCAACATTTTTTTATACACCAACATTTCGTATATTGTCGTTGCTCCCGTCAATTATGGTCATGAGACGAAGAATCCTGTTGATTTTCAATGATTTCCGATCATGACTTCCCAATTTATGGCCCTTGATATTTAATGTTTTTAGTACTCAACGTCAGTATAGGGCTGAATTAGAAGCCAAACAAGTATGACAATTACTTAATGGGTTTGTTATTCCTAATTATATTTTATTGTGTTGTAAATGTTTTCCTTACCTACAAGGGGGGTTCGATGGCCAAATGGTTAGCGCGTGCGCGTTGTATCATAAGGTCTGTCGTTGAGTCAACTGGCATAGTTTCGATTCCCCGGTTGTACGTGACAAGGTGTAGGGTAGCCTATCCAACCTCATGAATTTCCTCCGGGTCCTCCATTTTACTCCCACTGCTAAGGACCCATACGCGCAAGCGAATTTTTAAAATAAAATTTAACCATGTGAGTCCCGAAATGACCTAGTTTGTCGACTGGATGTTAAACCCCAGTTCGCTAGGTTTTGTGTATTTGTTCCTTGTACTATTCAATGCTCTCATGGCGTCACCGATTGACATGACTTGTGAAATATGTCTAGCCTCGTTCTTTCTGGTCACTTGTTACAAATAATGCTGAAACGCACTATGGTACACGATTGTGTAGTGGCTCTAGGACGACCTGAATGAGGTCGATCATCGACATTGTTTGTTTGTTGGTACTGCTGATCACAGACTGTGACAAAAGCATGTTGGCTACTGCTCGCTGTGTAGAACCCATTTGAAGCATGCCAATAGCATGAGTTTTAACCGAATCGCTATTTATAGCGTCTGGTTATTCCAGTCTATTGCGCATGCTATCATGCCGTCACCGTTTGACATGAGTTGTGAAATATGTCTAGCCTCGTTCTTTCTGGTCACTTGTTACAAATAATGCTGAAACGCACTATGGTACACGATTTGTGTACCAATGGTAAAATGTTTATTTTATCTTAAATATTGGATATCAGAAGCCTACATTTTCCTGGTAAGATCACAACATCAATGTTGATTTGAATTGACAAATAATTCGTGTTTTCAACGTGTAAGACTTTGGATGATATTGAGTTAGAGACTTAGCTACTTTAAGGCGATGTTTCGAAGAGTATTCTCTCAACATTATCATGCTAATATGATTATGTCATATTCATAAATATAGTGTTTGTTGATCAATAGTTGTAAGAGAGTTGATAATAACTGCTGATTACACTTTTAATATTGATAACCTATTGATTACTACATACTGCTTAATCATATAGTAAATATTACAAGGGCCAATCACTTCGGGACACCATATGTTTTTGTTATTTTTCATGTCTAGCATTATATTACATTCGTTTCATCTGTAAAATTCTCCACGAAGACAAATTGTCATCTCATAACAAATCAACATATAAAATTCACAATATACCTGCAACCTGATAAAAGAACTTGTCTGTACATTTCAACACTTGATCGCCCTCCAAACTGGCGCCCTGTTAGATATGTATTATGTGATGAATTAATAAAGTAATGAGCCAATGGTTGATCCATATCTACATATATATCTAATCTATCTAAAAATACTGGAGCATTCTCATCAGCCATAAGATATCTACAAAAACCATCTAAATTCAGGTAACCTGAAATAAAAAAAATAAGCACATTATACATGGCTTGCTATTTTTCTTCCATTTGTTCCTAATATGCTAATTATCAGTCCCACCTCTATACAGTTGAAAACATTTAATGTTGACGGTTCCTCACAGTAATTCATCCTCCAATTAGTTGTATGCACATCACATGTAGAACATAGGCACAAAATTTTGAATACTAGGGTCTAGCTAAGAAAAAGAGAACACAAACATAAAGACTCAGTAATTAAGGGCAAGGTAAAGTGACAAAAATTGTCACAACACCTGAAATTGGGGGTCCTCAAAAAATCCTTCACAACACCTTTAGTGCCTTTATTTTGGTGTCCAGACGTGCCTGAGATGATACTGAACAATAAAAAATGGAAGAAAATAAAAAATAATGACTTTGAAATTTTTAACTTTGAACCAGCGGCTGCCAGGCAGGATACACCCACATTTTCGAGAGATGGATAGAGAACAAGCTAACAAGAAAGTGATTTTTCCAACTATCAAGGGCCATAATTCAGGAAATTACAATTCAATATGCGTGAATATCGAAAGGAACTGAGATCTTTGTGTTATAAACTTACATTTCAAGTTTCAACAAAATCGGATAAAAATTGTGACCTCTATAGGGTCCACAACCTTGATATACCATATTTTTACGCTATTTGAGAATGAACGGCGGCCATTTTGTCTGTCAATTTTGGGTTGATTTTCATGAAATTCGAATTCAGTCGTCCTTAGGGGGTAACAGTGATATAATAATACAGTTTTTTAAATCGGATAAAAATTATGACCTCTATAGGGTCCACAAGCTAAAAACGCGATTTTTCGTACAATCAGGGGCCATAATTCAGGAAGTTACGGTCCGATATGCGCGAATATCGAAAGGAACCAAGATCATTGGGTTATAAACTTACATTTCAAGTTTCAACAAAATCGGATAAAAATTGTGACGTCTGTAGGGACCACGACCTTGATATACCATATTTTTAACGCTATTTGAGAACGAACGGCGGCCATTTTGTCTGTCAATTTTGGGCCGATTTTCACAAAATTCAAACTCAGCCATCCTAAGGGTGTAACGGTGATATAATAATACGTTTTTTTTAAATGGGATAAAAATTATGACCTCTATAGGGTCCACAAGCTAAAAACGCGATTTTTCGTACAATCAGGGGCCATAATTCATGAAGTTACGGTCCGATATGCGCGAATATCGGTAGGAACCGAGATCTTTGGGTTATAAACTTACATTTCAAGTTTCAACAAAATCGGATAAAAATTGTGACGTCTATAGGCTCCACGACCTTGATATACCATATTTTTACGCTATTTGAGAACGAACGGCGGCCATTTTGTCTGTCAATTTTGGGCCGATTTTCACGAAATTTAAACTCAGTCGTCCTTAGGGTGTAACGGTGATATAATTATACGTTTTTTTAAATCAGATAAAAATTATGACTTCTATAGGGTCCACAAGCTAAAAACGCGATTTTTCGTACAATCAGGGGCCATAATTCAGGAAGTTATGGTCCGATATGCGCGAATATCAAAAGGAACCAAGATCTTTGGGTTATAAACTTACATTTCAAGTTTCAACAAAATCGGATAAAAATTGTGACCTCTATAGGGTCCACAAGCTAAAAACGTGATTTTTCGTACAAACAGGGGCCATAATCCATGAAGTTTCGATCCAATACATGCCAATATCGAAAGCAGCCAAGATCCTTTGGAGATAAACCTATATTTAAAGTTTCGTCAAAGTTGGATAAGAATTGTGACCTCAAGAGTGTTCACAAACAAATTGTGGACAGACAGACGGACGGACAGGGGCGGTGGCATAATACGTCTACATGAAAATGTGGACGTATAATCATATGAAGCAAATATACCATTCAGCACTGCGCAGCTACAGGGTAAACAACTCAACATGGGAAATCACAAAGTCTCACAGAGATACCTGAATATATACACTACAACCATCAAGACTTCAAATTTTGAAAACTATCTTTGTTTCAGCACACCACATCCATATACAGTGGGCTCTGTCACATTCGACCTCTGAATACTCCGGCACTCCGTGAAGTCAGACATTATTTTCATGTCCCGATTTATTTCGTTATTATTTCAGCAAAAAAATCTTTGAGTAATCCGTACTCTGAATATTCCGAATTACGACATCAGTCAGTCGTCCTGTCACATGATTTCCATTGAATCAACACTGTATAATCCGGCCTTCAATCGGTGGGTGTGAAGCCACAAAAGATTAACAAGCAATCACCAATCAATTATTGGTGTGATTAAAAGTTGTTCGCGTAGGTCTTTGTTGATTACTTTGATAATTTTATAATCTCTTGTAAGACAGTTGTGACAAATACTCAAGAATACCCACGAATTATTCAGTCGCAAAAATATTCCTAGCACCTGTTGGAAACATTCGTTGCGCATGCCGATTGAACCTGAAATGCCTAAGTTTGTTCACCCTACGGCTCTATCCGAACCGTGTGACGACGACCTGGACATAGAACGACAAATTATCAATGAACACGTGACATCAAATACAAGTGTGCGATCAACTGAAGACGATGTAAATTAACGACAGACTTGACCTATTCAAAATGTCTACGTGTGTTAAATGAAATGAAAATTAATGTAATAAAATTTTGAATGTAGAGAAAGGTTTATCATCTTTAAACAGAATAACGTTCTGGGGATTCGAAGCTACATTATAATAATACTTCCGGTTTTCGAAGTTACAATAATACATCCGGATTTGAGAAAACTGAGTATTCCGACACTCTGCGTAATCCGACATAATGTAACGATCCCGTAGGATGTAGGTTTTGACAGTCCACTGTAATTAAACTTTTTTTTTTTTCAAATACCCTCTATTTTTTTCCAGGGACTACTTTCAGACTTTTTGTAAGGAGTACCATCATAAACATCATTTGGATTAAATGTTTCGGGTCTGTATGGAAAATTGTAAATACTGCATCACAATTTCCTTGAAACTGCTTTTGGTTTTCAGCAATTTTTTATAATGAATACAAATTATTACTTCTTAATTATTACTTAATTATTAATTCATCCCTTGAAACTTTGTGCCAGGACGCATAAAGATGCACTGACAAAAAAACATTGAACATTTTTACTAAGTTTTACAGTAAAATAATTTTTCATAAATTTTATTCAATATTTATTCACACTCAACACATTGTTTAATCTTAGATTGTACACTAATAGTCCACTATTGAATGTGGAAAGGTCCAGCTGAATGATTGATTGGAAAATATGATGTTTTTCAAATGGTACTCTATAGAAATGAATTATATCTAGGTAACAAATTCTATGTCAGTGCCTCAAAATGATTATTATTCTAACATAAATGAATAATAATCTATCCAAAATTTAGAAACAAGCCTTTTTGCTAACATTTACCAACACTTGACAACTGCAGCCATGATAGCTTAGATTTTGACAGTTCTGTTTTCATCAATTTACAGAACAGTCTATATGAACAATGTTGATATTAAAAGATGTGACAGTTCTTGCAAATGAAGCGCAATAGTCTATAATATTACGATTTACCACCAGATTTAAGGATAATTGTGATAGTATAAATCAAAAAGTATTTACTGCATTTTTATTTACCTTTCTGTGTTGAATTACCGCTCAAAGGAAGTTTTGCTCGCATCAATGAGTTCATGCATGACTTATTTTTTTAATATTATCAAATCCCGTAAATGACACTTCATTTGTATTTTGATATGAATTTTAATCGTATTCTGCAGTTGTTGAAATTAAAAAATTAAAAATTTGTATTTAAAATTAATACTTTGCTCATTGACATTAGCATAAGGTCAAGGACATACCAGATATTCAGACACGAAAGATACCTACGAAACATTGTTTACATTTATACAACGGTGAAATGTGTTATTACTGAAGGGAATACGACATAATTGTATGTATGGTGATGTAAATGAAACCTTTGCATATCGATACAATGTTCAGCTAAGCATTGTCAGTTTAACGATTATTCACATCACTTGTCTAAAAGATATGAAGGGTTATTTTCAAGATTGAAAAAGAAAATGGCGAATCCCAACCCCATGGTAGCAAGGATGTGGAAATCTCACACTATAAGGAAATAGGAAAGCAACTCGAAAATCTAAGACTCGACTACTGTACTACCGGTACATAGATCTGAGTATAAATAGAGAGATAATAGCTGTCCCCAAGTTTTATCGTTTTGTCTGTAGGTGTAACCGCGATTGGGCAAGAAAGTGATGAAACTGAAATTTTTGTTTACGTGATAACAAGCGGATGTACGAATTAAAGGGGTATTGACAGTGAAATAGGGTATTGTGAGTAACAGAGTTTATTTTGGATGTTTGTATCCAAGTGTCACTATTTTGTGTTGGGAAATAATATCTTCAGCTTTGTTATTGTTGAGACTACTATGCAACAAGATGGTGTCACTTTACCTTGCCCTTAACATCCCTCACACTTGGACAGATTTTTGAAGGTACAGCCGTACAGGTATAGCCAATCACTGTATTATTAGGAATCAACAACTAGTTCGGACGGACATAAATAGGTTACGACGTAATACGTCACCATGAAAATGTGGGCATAAAAAAATAGGATTCTTCGTCTCATGAACTTAAAGACCACCTAAGATGAAAAATCTAAATTGCATGTATGTATAGCCAATGGTTACTATAATAATCCACTTTACGACAAGTTTACACCAATCTGATTAAAATTAATTCGGCTATTAACGTTTATGTATTCGACACACCAAAACACTTTTTAATTATGACCATAATCCAGTTGATTGGCTGGTGACGTCATAAGGAGTACACATAGTATTATCTATACAATATATCACTGTCTGTACAATATATCACTGTCCATACACATCACCAGTTGACAAGTGTGTATAGACGATTCAATTAACATGTGACTGGCCTAATCATAATCACCGAATTATCGTCTTGCGTTGTTATAGATTAAACATTTGTGATAGGAATATTTTAGAATGAATTTAAAATGCTGTATCATGCTGTCGATCCACTTAATCTGCCTTTGTTTAAATAGGCCATGTGGCAAATAAAGACGACCCAAGCAATTAGCACATATACCGGTAATTTGGATAACCCTGTAATACTTGATATCCCAAACTATTCTCTATATAAGTACAGAAATACAAATGGTGTCAGTCATTTGTCGATATATTCATTATAAGCTATATAATAATAATAACCATTTCTAAAAACAAAGAACAACTTTTATCGTAAGTCCATTTAAAATTCATAGCAAATATAGAATTTTCCAATGACTTTGCATGACAATAGATCGCCCTTATTTCTCAGCCAATCAACGCCGGAAATCTTATTACCATTTACGGTTCCATGCATACTACAGGTGTAGTAACTGAGGTTAAATTTTGGCGTGAAAATGAATATCAAATACACATGATTATACGTGGAGTTCCTGATGCCGTTTGATGAGTGATTAAACTGTCAATGTAATTGTAAAATACCTTTATTTTAAGAAGTTAAACGTTGTTAGACATTATAACCTAATCTTATCACAACCGTTTATCCATCGAATAATATATATTCAGATTTCATATCAAGTCAATTAAATGTTGTTTAAACGCCAATCAACAAATAATACAAGACTACTTTATTACAAAAACATCGGTGAACAGAGCTAATTTATTATTGGGTAAATAATAATTATAAACAACTATTAGTTGTTGTGTGGGAAATGTTTGTAGAAAAGTTGCCCCAGAACTACACTTGCCATATTATTAATACTCAAAGATAGTTAGACGACCCTTCTCAATCTGTTATTCGATTTAGATGGTTATCAACAAAATTTATTTGTACTGTTAAATCTAAGATATATTGAGTTATTTTTTCGTATTTCATTTTTACGGTCTATTTCAGAGTAATGATGTCAAATCGGCATGCAGAAAGAAAGGCGCCTTACGATGGCTACAGGAAAACGAGATACTGTTGGCTTCTCTGATAACGGATCATCATTTACAAGTCGCGTTTCAATCATGTTTGACTTTTATGATACATTTTGCATGACCACATCTTTTTACTCCTGTACTCTTCTGACGGAAATGTATCTCGAATTGTTTGGACTGCACACGATGGTAGAGGGGCTCTTATCAAAAAGTCACTTTAAAACAAAGTTTTAAAATCGCTGTTGCGAGAAGAGAGGGCGGGACATTATGAAACGAATGCTAAATTGGATCTTAAAACAAATTATTCCGTAGTCAATTGTATTATTTAATTAGGGGATTAAGGAATCAGTTAGGCGTTAATGAATACACAAGCCGGCTGTATATATATAGGTAATTAAGGAATTGAGTGAAGATAGCCGAATTAATTTTAATCAGATTGGTGTAAACTTGCCGTAAAGTGGATATAGTAACCATTGGCTATACGTACCGAAAAGTAATGTTGTCCATCTTATATGCACTTTAAGGGCAAGGTAAAGTGACAAACATTATCACAAAACCTGAAATTGTGGGTCCTCAAAAAATCTTTCGCAACATTTGTAGTGCCTGTATTTTGGTTTCTAAAGATGCTGGACAACAAAAAATGGATGAAAATAATGACTTTGGAAAAAATGAAGCAAATATACCATTCAGCACTGCGCAGCTACAGGGTAAACAACACTAGGCCTACATGGGAAATCACAAAGTCTCACACAGATGCCTGAATATATACACTACAACCATCAAGACTTCAAAATTTGAAAACTATCTTTGTTTTAGCACAAGTCCATATAATCAAACTTTTTTTTCAAATTCCTCCATTTTTTTCCAAGGGACTACTTTTTGTATGAGTACCATCATTAACATCATCTAGATGAAATATTTCGGGTCTATACGGAAAATAATAAATACTGCATCAAAATTTCCTTCAAACTCCTTTTGTTTTCAGCTATTTTTATAAGCCTAATGAATACATATTGCTAGTTTTTTTATGACTTCTTTTAATTCACCCTTCAAAACTTTTTGCCTGGAAGCATAAAGATACACTGACAATTAAACATTGGACATACGTATTTACTAAGTTTTTCATTAAAATATTTTGTAATACATTTTATTCAATATCTATTCATATTCATCACAGTGTTTAATCTTTGTTAAATTGTACACTAATAGTCCACTACTGAATGTGGAAATGTTCAGCTGAATGATGTGTTGCAAATGGTACTCCATAGAAAAGAATTTGCCATACAAAAATTATATTTAGGTTACAAATTCTATACCAAACCCTCAAAATGCTTATTTTTCTAACATAAATGAATAATAATCTATCCAAAATTTAGAAACATGCCATGATAGCTTAGATTTTGACAGTTCTGTTTCCATCAATTTCTAGAACGCTCCATATAAATAATGTTGACATTAAAAGATGTGACAGACCTTGCAAATAATGGTCAATAGTCTATAATATTACGATTTAACACCCGATTTATAGATAATTGTGATATTATACGTCAAAAAGTATTCATTGCATCTTTATTTACCTTTCTGTGTCGAATTGCCACTCAACAGAAGTGCGGATTACAACAATAAGTTGGTGAATAATTTATCTTTTAATATCATCAAATCAAGTAAATGACACCTTATTTGTATTCAAATATTAACTAATCTTATTCCACAGTTGTTTAAATTCAAAATATAAAAATTTGTAATTAAAATTAACACTTTGCTCATTGATATTAGCAGAAGGTCAAGGACGTTAGACGTTCGGACGCAAAGGTAGAAATCGTTCACAATGTTTATATTTATAAAATGGTGAAGTGTTTTATTACTAAACGGAATACGGCATAGTTCTGTGCATGGCATGCCAAGAAGTCGCCGTAACAGACTGTTTCATTGGCTTATCACTCACTTCAACCAAAACGTTGGTAATGTAACAACTCGTCCAGATCCTAGTGTGGTAAAGACAATTACTGAAATTTTGAACTATAAAATACGAAAGAAAATAGGATCTGTGTTTTAATCAGATTAATTTTCGTTTATGATATAAATATAGAAATATAATTTATTTTGGTCTTTTGTATTCAAGGACCACTATTCTGTGTTGGAAAATAATATGTTCAGCCTTGTTGGTGTCAAGACCAATGTGCAACAAGATGGTGTCACTTTACCTTGCCCTTAAACACTGTCTATCAATCAATTAAATAATGACATTAGCCTCTATAGAGACTCCACAAGCTAATAATGGGTGATAAAGATTCAATGATTTGTTGACTTACCCTTTTCTATGAATTCTTTGTCATTTTCGTATGTAGCAATAATCTGCGACACTCTATTGGAATTGTAAAATGGGAATAATATTTCATTGAGTCTAGGATCTCTTTGTCTCTGTAAAACCACAGATAAACCGATTTATTCAAAGTAATTCATATATCTAAATTACACATAATTTATATATTGAGCCATTTTAAAAATCTTGATCAGTACATGAAAAGCAGTGCACAAATTTTGAAAGGAACCAAGATCTTTGGGTTATAAACATACATTTCATGTTTCATCAAAATCTGAAAAAAATTGTGACTTCTAGTGGGTCTACAACCTTGGTATTACATACTTTTACACTATTTGTGTACAAGAAACAGCCATTTTGTCTGGGAGTTTCGGTCAGATTTTTTGGAAATTCGAACTCAAACTTCATTGGGGTGTAACAGTGATATATTTAAACAGTTTTTAAAATTGAATACAAATTCAAAGGAACCAATATTTTTGGGTTATAAACAGACATTTCAAGTTTTGTCAAAATAGGAGAAAAATTGTGATCTATACAGTTTCCACATACAAATTGTGGATGGACGGATGTCCAGACGTCCGGACGGACAGCGGCGACGACAATATACGTTCACATGAAATGTGGGCGAATAAAAAGCACACAAAGTGACCATATACAACTGGTATAAACTTGAAGCCAGTACATATACACTTCACATCAATTTCGTTCACATCCATTCATATTTAATACATCTTTACTCAAATTGGTAATCAAAGGCTGATTTGTTTAACTCAGTTTATCAGATATTCTCCAGAATAAAAATTGTACACCAAAAACTAAGTGAAATTTTTTTACATTTGAACAATTTCTAATTAGCAAATTGCACAACTGCTATAATAGGTTGACATGTGTACAAAGTATGTGATATCACTTCGGTGGAATGTAGTAATATGGTATGCGACCATATTGTCTTAAACTGATTATTGGTTCCACGTAAATAAAGTAATGATCTCCCTCCGGCAGATATAAAAGAAGGTGCTGAGCGAAATTCATTAGAGCTCATCCAGTCTGTCAGAGTAGCCATCAAAAGCTATATACATTTTATTAAGAGAGAGAGAGAAATGGGGTTAAATGTCCACTCAACACAGACTAGGTCATTTCGGGACTAACATATGGCTTAACTTTATTTCAATAATTCGCTTGCGCGTAGGGGTCTTTAGCAGTGTGAGGAAACCAGAGGACCCGGAGAAAACCCACGAGGTTGGACAGACAACCCTACTCCTTGTCACGTACAACAGGGGATTCGAAACCACGCCAGTTGATTCAACGACAGGCCTCATGATACAGCGTGCGCGTGCTAACCATTCAGCCATCCCCCCCCCCACACTTTATTAGGAACGAGGAAGATTTATGCCATCCTGCTTAAATAATAAAGCTGTATAAAAGACTTCACCTGTAATTTCGATCATGAGGAGAACATAAAAAAATAGTCCAGTAGTACTTGTAATACAATATCAATTGGGGATCTAAATTTTATTATTGTATTTTGAATTCATATTTTAATTTATATTTTTCATTTGTAACTCATTTTGGACATGTGACAGATTAATTGTAAAATGTAATCTGCATCGGTATGAGGGTTATTTCATAGTATTATGTAACATATAATGGGTTATTCAAACAATGTATAGCCGGCTTGTCTTAGACAAGTATATTATGATATAAGGTTTAGGTAACAAGCATTAACACATATTGTCTAGAGATAAGATGTGTGAATCTTAATAATTAGTTTTTATTGTTCTGATTACCAACGCCTATTTACTCGGCTTTCTATAATAATAAAAACTGACACTAAGTCATTAGCCGTTCATTGTTGTAAATCAACTATAGAGTCCCAGCTGTCAATCATTCTCTATGTGCCTACGAGTTATCCAATCATCCTAATTGTTTATATAACATGTAACCAATCAGCATTGTCTGCCGAGATCATGTGACAGATACCCTTGCGCGTTACAAAAGGGCATACTTTGAGAGGAGAGGGCAGAGGGGTCCTGTGAGGCCGAGGGGAAGCAGCTATAGCTAGACATAACTTTACCCAACCAAATGATGTTATTATGTACCTGTAAATATGTTATCCAGTAGACGTGGTACAAGGGTTAATCAGCGAACTGGATGTATGAGATGTGTTGTTGACGTTTGGGAAAGTAGGACGAGGGGAAATGTGTAGGGAGTGAAGTGCTGTAAAGGGATAGTTAGATGTATTATGAATGGTTAGAGTGGCTGTGGTGTTACGGTGAAATACTATGCCGCCACCATAACACCACAGCTTTATGATTTGTTAGACAGGAGTGATGTAATGGGTGTCAACAACTGGGTATGCTGGTACCGTCGCAACGTAGCCGTGAAATATATATTGTGGGGGGGAAGGGCGGAAACGGAAAAATATACAATGTTGACAGTATGTGCCAGGCATGAGGCTGCGCAGACCGAGCGGCAGCTCGATAGGGAGTGTGTGGGAGGGTCACCCTCATAAAAAAATTTTTTTTTAAATTTCAGTTTTCTGTAAGCAGTGAAAACACTATTTTGGCATTGTTTGCGGGGTTAAACCTAAAAATCACATTAATACACCTATTGCACGATATTGTGAAACTAGCTGACGAAGACAGCTCGGGCGGCGATTGTTCGACTCGGGGCTGCTCTGTCAGTATCTAACAAACGCATTTAGTTCGCGTACAACTTTTAAAAACCGAATGTCAGTATGGTATTTCTCACATAATTGGTTATCGCAAAAACAGAGTAAACTGAAAGCGAGTAATCTCGAATCAAACCTATAGTCTATAGCCTACTTACTACACTCGTCACTAGGCTTCCTATATTATTGTTTGTGGACGGTTTACTACTCAGTGATAAGCCTGCGCCGCAAAAAGAGGTCTCGCCTTTTATTATTAGTATAATGACTTCCTCATGTGCGGCAGGTTAGTTTGCTTCTAAAAACACTGTTTTCCGTTCCAAAAAATACAAAAGTATTTTTCTACCAGATGACCATGGTTCTTTTCACCGAGACTAGATAATTTCTCTCGGTGTAAGGATATAGCTATGGATAAGTTCATACAAGGTCAATAAATCCGCGGTCACTTCGGGTCACACTGTTGAGAAAATAAACCGATGGGTTTGTTTAGTAGCAAATCGAACGTGAATCAACTGAGTTTGTACTGAAAAATTTTTGAGTGATATGTATGGACTGTCTTCCCACATTCGGTTTATAATTAGCGATACACCGGTACAGTGGCAAGTGTTGTACTTCACAGACTGTTTACCTCCGAACTACCTACGCACGAAATCCCCGATTTGGGTACTTGTTAAAAGAAAAAGAAATAGTACCTGTGCGCATGCCAGTAAAAAAAAAAACTAAGAGTTCGCGCATAAAAATGCCCGAACGTACCAGGCGCCAGGTCATCCAGTATCACTGTCACTACATGTATAAACCAGTGATGGGATTTCAAAATTTTAGTTGTCGGACATTTTCGTCCCGAAAATAAAGGGACATAACTCTTATCGTTATTTAAGCAGTAATAAAAAAAAAAATTAGATGCACCTCGTAATTTTTCATATTTAATTCCCGTACGGTATTCAAATTTATGTCGATAATATTCCTAAAAAATTATATGACATCGTAATACCATAGAATGAAAGCGTGCCGACTACTGCCCATCCGTACCGGTTTCAAATTCCCCCAAAATTACCGTATTTTTCGGGTCATAAGTCGATACATTTTTCAGCAAAGTCCGGCATTCGTCTTATGCTCCGTTTCGATTTATATACGGAAGGTAAAATGACATTCCGAAATTTATTTGGCAGTAAACCGTAGTAAACGTCGCTCTAACAGAACGAGCGAGTGACATCAACTGCTAAATAATCCCATTCGACTCTAAGCACGCGCTATAGTCTAAAAACAATTACTGTAACTACTTACCTTATTCCAATCGAAATATTCGTCAACATTTCTTAGCGTGTTTATTTTTTTATTTAAGAACATAAACCTCATTCAAAATATGATCATAAATCCGACAATATGCCATCAAAATAGAATCTTTTCTGCCGACATCAGACGTATTATATTCGGCACATTTACACCTCTTAATTCTAATTCCACGTGTCTCGCGAGATTTGTACTTTCATTTTGTGTGTGTGTGAAATAGCTTTATTTAACTTCGGCTTCCACTGAAGAAATATCACAGACAAGTCATCGGACGCAATGTATATTGATTTGGGGTGTTATATACTATTAGGATATGTGACATATATGACTAATGTCTACGGCCGACATCAAGGAGATTAAAACGTGAGACAAAGGAGAAATCACGGGTTAATCACATAGATTAAGTTTATTGGATTGATATATAGTTCGACAAAGAGAAGCAATGACATCTGTTCAGGATTGAATTGATGAATTGTCTGACAAAGAATTAAGTCAGCCAATCAAGGCAGATTAAGTAGTTAATCAAGGTAGGTGTATTGACGGCATAAAACGATAAATACGTTGATCACTTAATTACCTAATCAATCCAGCCTATTATCAACGGGTTGAGTGGTAGTTATGCACTCAGTATACTATATTAATTTTGGAATTTTGAATATTATTTATCATGTCTTGATGTCTGATTGGGCATATTCCTGGTCGGACAATTTAGGACGTTTGGAAAATAGCGTCGGACATGTCCGGAATATACGAGCAAAATCCCATCACTGGTATAAACATCAAATTGACAAATTCGGTTTCTTTAACAGTCTTTTTGTTTCATTTTCACATTTACTACACTTACACAGTGGTACGGGATGGGAGTGGGCTGGAAGGACAATGCTCAGTCATTCGGATGGGAGGAAAACAATAGTTTAAACAGTATTGATTCAAGAAACTGAATCAGAGTGAAAAAAATGTAAGGGGCTACATGGATAGTAGGAGGCCAATTTTCCACAGAGCTGTGATGGTTGTTTATTTTTAATTATTTACACAATTATACAGTTAAATTTCCATGAGATATGGTCGCATTTTCCATTCTCTGATGCTTGAGCCCGAAAAACTGAAATACATTGCCCGGAAATTGGACGGTTCAAGGAA